GGAGGGTTGTTTGGGTTGATGTAGACATGACGTGTACCTGATCTGAGCTTCTCTAAGAGTTCTCTCTGTGTACATGCTGGGGTTCTTGTCCGTGCAGGTCTCTGTCTCGATGACGAGGGCAACCAGTGGTTCCGTGACCGTCTCTCCTCCGCCTCCTCCTCGCCATGTTGCTGATTATCTCAACAGCAAGTTCTGGACTGCGCAGGATCTATCTTCTGGGCTTCTTGCCCTTGAGAATCTGGTCAGATGTCGGGTAGATCTTTGCGATCAGAGTGTAGAGCTTCACGTCTCCCTCGCAGCCCAGGTTGCCAAATGGGCGGGTGCAAGCCAGAAGTCGATACAGGCGCTGAGAGAGAAGCTGAGGCTGAGGTCGCACGCAAGTGGGGTGGTAAATCCCCCTCCCCCTCCTCCTCCCAGTACCTTGCCGCCGGTTAAGGAGAGTTCACGGGATCGGAAGCTCAAGGTCAGATCCTCGGCTGCTGGCGATGGAGGGCTGGGCAGGGAACATGGTGGTGGATCTGAATCTGTTCCTGTTGTCGGGCAAAGGGGTGGGAGGGGTGGGAGCAACTCCAACTCACTGGATCTGGATGTGAGCTCTCTGGCGGATCGGCTGTTAAGAGGCGGAGATGCTGAACCGTCCGGCGAATGTGAGGATGGAAGGATTGGTCATGGTAATAAGAGTGGAAGCGAAAATGCGGTGGAGGTTGTGCTTGACTCACTGGCAAGAACAGCCAGTGGTGTGGAGACAATGGAGAGACTTTGTGTTTGCATTGAGCAGGTGCTTGACCTTGAGCGTCTGGTGGGTGATGCCGAGGATGCTATTGGGGAAGCAACGGGCTCACTGTCCCCTGTGCTTGGCGGAGGCGGCGGTGGCGGCCGTGGAGATCGGTTTGGGCTGCTGATGTCGTGCATGGAGGCCGTGAAGTCTGCATCTTTGGTGGAGTTCGGGATGGGAATGCAGCATACGCGGAGGGCCTCGGGGATGTGGACTCAGTTGACTGCAGCCGTAGATGCCAGATCTGATCGGCTTGATCGTGTGGCGCATGCGCTTCGACCGGCACTCACTTTGGACTACAAGCAGTGCATTTGCGAGGCGGGATGGCCGCCGCCTCTCGTTAGCAGTAGCGTTGACGGTCAGCGGGTGCGCACAGCTGGTGGTGGCAATGGGCTGGTGGAAAGGGACAGTCATGCGCATGCAGTTCCCCGGTCCTCGCTGTCTGGGCAGCCATCGCCAAACCCTCTCTTACTGGCCAGCAACGCTTTGAAAGAGAAGTTTAAGCGATGTTTTGTGGCACTGACGCAGCTGCAGCTTCTGCAACATGAGCGAGAACGGAGGGCACGGATGCGATGGGGAATTGGCGATGGCAAAGGCGATGATGCATCGGGTGCTGCGAGGCTCACATCGCCGAAAGTTACAGATGGCATCCAGAAATATGATGCGGCGGGCATAAATATGATGACGGGGGAAGAAAAGATTGGTGTGAATGGCTATTTTTGGCACAGCAGTTGGCGGGCGTCAACGTACCTCTGGGCAATGGACGCGCTGGTTGAACCGATCGCTGAAAGGGCTAAGTACCATTTTACGAAATGGGTGGACAAGCCTGAGCTCGTGTTTGCTCTGATTTGCAAGGTGGTGGGAGAGCATACCGATGCGCTGGAGACAGAGATACAGCCGTTGCTTGACGCGCCGGATGTGCATGGAATTACAAAGATGATTCGCGTGACTCTCGGTGCCAGGGAGGAGTGGGTGAAGTCGGTGGTGGAACAAATGGCTGCTGAACATCTGAGATCACAGGTGCTGCCAAAGTTGGCGGTGAAGGTGCGCGAGGAGGGACCATGCGGGACCGGGGCTGCGTTATGGCTGCACATGGTTGATGAAGCACTGATGTTTGACATGACCATGGGTGAAGTCGCAGCGGGGAGGAGTCTGAAAGCGGGCGGTCGAGGCGCCGCTCGAGGGGCAGCAGCTAAAGCCAAGCAGAGGCAAGGTATGGAGGCATGGAAAATGTTGGAAGGCCAATTTGCCGGATGCTTGAAGGTTTTCGAGGAGCGACCGGATTGGCTGGCTGTGTGGGCAATGGTTGAGCTAGAAGACTTGCAAAAGAAGATTGACATGGCGGTGAAGGCAGATGGTGCATGGGAGATCAACCTGCTGGACAAAATGGGAGCAAGTAGGAGGAGGGGTAGTGGGGATGGTCACGGCATGGCTCTTGGGCACCGTGGCGGTGATGTCGATCTATCGTTGGCCTCCGAGTACCAACCACCTCAGTGTGTCGATGGAATCCTCATGTTGCTGAGGGTTGCCACTGACAGATGCAAGGGTCTGCCAGCAGGCAGAGGACGTCTCGCATTTGTGCGCGCTGTCACTGCTGCTGGGGTAAGGGAGTTCGCGGAAGTAATGAGGCGTCAATGCGAGGAGGTGGAGGCGTGCACTTCTCTCTCTGGAGAGCAGAACCTAGCAAGTGTTGGTGTCCGCCTGAATGCTGCACGGTATGTGGAAAATGCGTTGCAAGAATGGGGTGACGAGATGTTCTTCCTCGAGCTGCGACTGTGGGACGCCTTCACAGGAAACCGACGGAGGCATGATGGGGCCAAGGCGAGGGGGAAGGAGATCGACAACATCCAAGGTACAGTGTTTGACGGCGAGATCGATTACCTTGGGCAGTTCCGTTCAGAATGGACGGCAAAGATCATCTCCGCGGTCATCCGCGGGTTCCGGACAAGGTGTGCCGACTATGTCCGAGCAAAGAGACGGTGGTCTTTGGATAATGTCGTTACTACTAGTAGTGCTGTCAGTGAGATGCCATCGTCAGGGTCATCGCCCGCATCTAGGACGGCGAATCGAACGCCGGGAATGGGGCCAAGCACATCAGAGGAGGACTCGGGAGGTGATTCGCTTTCGCCGCGTCAGGCAGCAGCTGAGATGGGAGCGTATTGGCAGGAGATGGGTGGGAGAACCATGCAAAATAATGTCACAAGTGCAGGCTACTTTCCCAAGTTTCAGGATGGGCTAGACGTGTCACCCGCACTGTGTGACGCCCTGTTTTCGCTTCGCGCACAGTTGTCGGAGCTGAGACGAACGCTTGATAACGCTGTGTTCGCGGATGTCTGGAGGCGAGTGGCTGCGTCGTTGGACACATGCTTCTTGGAGGATGTTGTTCTTGGTGGTGGCAAGTTCTCTCAAGCGGGTGCGCAACAACTTGTTGCGGATGTGGCTGCTGTTTTCTCTGTGTTCAGAGGGTACTGCAACCGGCCTGGGGCCTTCTTGAAGGGGTTGAGGGACGCGTGCGTGCTGTTGACGTTGGATGCCTCGGAGGTCTCCACCCTAAAGCTGATGTTGATGGTATCCGGTACAGAAATCAAAGGGAGGGGGAGTGTGAATAATGATGGTCGGAATGCAGTCGTAGGTGGGCAAAAAGAACAGGAACGGCAGATTGGTATGATCCTACGGCAAAACGGAGTCCTCAAGCTTAGCCCCGCCGTTGTCGAAAGAATATTAAATCAACGACTGATTGATAAAAGGATCTGAATTAATTATATAAAAAAAAAAAACGCTCTGATCCTTCTTCGGATTATTTACAGTTGTGGTTCTTTGTTTCGGGAATTCTCTAAGATTTAAAAACATTGTTTTTTTTTTTTTGTTGATGGATCCTATCAGTTCCTGTATACTGACCTGTTTTCTCTCTGACATGAATGTTAGCTTTTGAATGTAATTGGCACCCGGCACACCCTTCTGATGTTAACCCCTTTCGCCTGGGCTCTTGCTCATGCTCTTCCACCTCCAATTGCTCCCACGGATCCCCTACTTTGGTGGCTAAATGTAGTATGGCAGGAGATATCAACAGCAGTTGCAGTTTACTGAAGAGAAACTCGCTTTCAAATCAGGAGCTGTCTGGGGTCGCTTGCAGTCATGCAGTGGCCATATTATGTTCTTCTGGTGGAGATCGGTGAGTGCGGTCATGTAATGGTCATACTTTATTCTTTTGGCGGAGTTCAGCGAAATTCTATTTTAGAGTTACTGCTTGCATTCTGATTTCGGCATTTTCATTTTACAATCTTTACATGCATATCCCAATCCTGTTCCTGTGAAGCCTCTCTGTCCGTCTGTCTGTCTGTCTGTCCGTCTGTCTGTCTGTCCGTCTGTCCGTCTGTCTGTCTCTCTCTCTCTCTCTCTCTCTCTCTCTCTCTCTCTCTCTCNCTCTCTCTCTCTCTCTCTCTCTCTCTCTCTCTCTCTCTCTCACGCGCGCGCACACACACACACACACACACACACACACACACACACACACACGGCCTAATTCTTTGCCCTGCTTTAGAGCATGGGCTGTTTGGATGTTTCCGGTTGGCCATGAGTTCTCTTTGGGGGGAATGTATGTTTTGTGGGCGGCGTGGAAGGCTTTCCCAGTTTTTTCGGACTCTTAGCAGGGGGGGTCGGTGCATTCTTGCTGGAAGAGTCTTCTGTCTTAGGTAAGTTGTCTCTTATCTTCTTCCTCCTCTTTGGCAGTGATGCGAGTGTGTAGTTTGAGATGAATGTCGGGAATGCCAATGCTGTTATATTTGTTTGTTTTTGATAGAGGAGTTTTTGGTTTTGTGGGCCGATGCGGAAGGTTCTCCAAGTTTTTTCCGACCTTTCAGGGGGTCGGGTCGGTGCCTTCTTGCTGGAGCAGTCTTCTGTCATAGGTAAGTTGCCTTCTGCCCTCCGTCCCCTTATGGTTTGAAATATATATATGTATATATATGTATATGTGCAAGTGTGCCGCTTCGGCGGCAGACGGGTGTGTGGGCGCTTGGCGCTGAACCACACAAACAGGCCAACCTTGCATTTTCTATTATATTGCCTATGTATACTTTATCGTTATGGATGATTTGTTATGATTGGTGGAGGAAATGAGAGAGAGAATTTGGGGTGCTTTAACAACACACACATTCCGGTCTTGCTAGCTCTCTGTCTTGGCAGAGTTGAGCGGTTAGGATCGGGCTCGTACTAGCGAGCTACGCTTTCTCTGTGAATGGATGTGTTTTGTTGGTTTGTTTTTTTATACATGGCCTAATTCTTTGCCCTGCTTTGTAGCATGGCCTGTCTTGTCGATGAAGTAATGTCTGTGGGTGGCCACAAGTTTTTTCTAAGGTGGGAGTATCGGGTTCTGGCCACAATATCTCTGCAAGGACGCCCAGAGAGTGTTTGCTGGGGGTGTCGGGCTGCTCGTTCGGAGCACATGGAAGAATGGGTTGCCTTCTAGCAGTAGTGCTCCTGGTGTCACGTGGAGATCTTGTGGAATTTGGCATAGTTCTCGCAGTGGCCTCGCCGTAGCACTCGGACATCACCCGATTCTGCAGGTTGCGCAGGAGGGGGAGGTTCATGGCACTGTTGGTGTTGCATACAGGTCGTGTGGTGTATTTTTTTATTTGTGGTGGCGCTGTAGGTGGTCTCAGAGGGCTCTAATTTTTTATTTTATTTTTAGACCATTGGCATGTGTGGTCGGTGCTTTTTGTTAGTGGAGCTTTTTGTGTTATGCTGTTTTGTGGTTTTGTGGGCCGACGCGGAGGGCTCTTCAAGTTTTTTTTGGACCTATGGCGGATGGAGTCGGTGCTTTCTTGCTGCTGGAGTCCTCTGTCTTAGGTAAGACGCTTCTTGCCCTCCACCCTTTTATGGATCAAATAAATATATGTATATGTCGTCAAGCAGAACTGCCCGGGAAACCGTAGGCAGAAAGGGAGAAGAGGACAACAAACAAAGGGCTGTGACAAACTGTTTCGTCGGAGCTTCATCGACTCATGCGGACACTGAACCCTCAACATATATGTATATGTGCAAGGGATGGGTGTGTGGGCACTTGACGCTGAACCGCACAAACGTGCCCAACCTTGCATTTTCTATTATATTATCTATCTATACATTTACGTTATGGATGGTTTGTTACGATTTGTGGAGCAAATGAGAGAGAGAGAATTTGGGGTGCTTTAACAACACACACACGCAAACGTGGCCAACCTTGCATCTACTATATTGCCCAACCTTGCATCTACTATATTGCCTGTATAGTATATACCTAGGCTACCAGCGGGGCCGCATGGGGTCACCTTGCTTTCCTGGGCAGCCCAGCTGTGCAAGGACCGGGGAAGGCCCCAGCAAAAAACAAAAAATCCGAAAAAAACTATGTTATTAATTTTATTTGGCCCGGCCAGGCAGGTAGTCCCGGGACAATTCGGTAGCCTAGTTATCTACACTTTTTTTTTGTTTTATGGATGACTTGTGATGATTTGTGGTGGGAATGAGAGAGAGAGTTTGGGGTTCTCCAAAACACACACACACACACCATCAGATTTTATCTAGAACCTCATTTCTTCCTCTCCATTTCAAGTATTTTCATATGGTAGGCAGTTGCCCGGGCGGGCGGGGCATACTTGCCCAGGAAAACCGGGCGCGTCAAGGCCTTTTCCTGTGCTCTCTGTATTGTCTATGCGGGAGCACCCTCCTAGTGTGCCAAATAGTCCAGGGGATGTGTTTTACTGGGGAGGCTTTTGTATCTGGGTGTTCCTTGATGATGACTGTTTTTAATCAAAGTGACTCCATGAGCCTGAAAGTGGCTCTCGCCTACAGTACGTTCTACTTGTGTTGCGGGTAAAAAAAAAAAAAAAAAAGCGGTGATGATGTGCTTTGGTCTGTGCTGCATGTGTCCACTGCCTTGCTTCCCTGCTGCCCTGCTGCCTGTGTTCTTGTGCTGCTTGCCCGCTTTCCTGGTGCGGCCTTGCTGCCTTGCTGCTTGTCTCCATTGTCCCTGCTGCCTGCTTGCATGTCTTGTTGATAGTCGGGGTCGCTGTGCTGCCTACTCAGCTGCTCGCTTTACTGCATGCCCGCTGCCTCAAGAGCGCTTGACTGTTTGTCTGCCTTCTGCTTGTCCTTTGCTCTGCTACCTGCCTTTCTGCCCACTTGTCATGAAGCCTGCAGATGCTCAGTGGACTGTACATTGGGCCGAGGGCAAAGCTTGGGGCTTGCCTCGGTTGGGCCTCGTCTTAGGTTAGATTCGTAATTTTGTTTGGCTGAGGGCTAACCGAGAGACCTGCCTGAAGGAAATTCGCGAGGGACATATTTGTAGATTCGGGAAAATATAGGCCTGTACTAACAGAATTCCCTACAGCTATCCTAATTGGGAATAGCAGGCCCGGGCTACCTCAAGGACAGACAGGCCCTAAGGGCCTAAGCTGATAGACGGTCCTATAGCCTATAGCCGGGTTGGGAGAGGCCCTAGAGGCCGAAACAGAAACGGTACCGGTCGGTCAGTCAGTCCGGTCTAGGTCGAGTCTAGGCTAGAGTAGACGATAGATAGGATGGGCACATCGGTTCAGGGATTTTGGCAGTTGGTACCGAGTACATCGCTGCTGCGCTACGCGTGAACCGGAAGTGGAGACGGCTCAGCGTTGTGGGAGACAGACATAACCAGACCATCAGAGCGCCGGCCATAGCTGGGACCTGCGCTGTACTCTGTCAGCACGCGGGGCTGTCAGAGGTCTGGGTTATCGAGGTCTGCTGGAGGCGAGAGAAGTTGGTGCCCTACTGGACCCTCCTCCGGAGTGGGGTTCCAGGGTTGTGGAGCTGCAGCCATAGCTGCAGCTTCTTCCTCAGAGGCCATCTTGTCGGGATTTGGTGGCGTTGCTGCAGACTTCCATCCGGGAGTGTCTAGGGTTCAGCCTTCTCCGGATGAGCCGACGAGAGATCAATGAAACAGTCTGTCTCTAATCGTGTGCCCTTGTTTGTTGTTCGAGCACACTGTATGTCGTCTGTATGATGTGTGATTCTTTTGTCAAGTATCCATGTTGAGGACACACAGCTCTCCACACTGATTTTTTTTTTTTTTTTTTTTTTTTTTTCCCCCCTCCACCCTGATGTTGAGGCTTTGGAATGCATCTTTTTGAAAGTTTGTGTGGAGGCTCTACCCCGAATGACGCCCTGGCGCTCACTCCACTACAAATGCTGCGAATGTATCCGGATTTGGTGTTGATCCAGATGCATCAACATGTTTGGTGAGTCGGAAGGTATCTGGGTCTCACTGCAGTCGAGGTATATTTCATCGATTGGTCGAGAAGATAGGCTGCTGATCTTTGGGGGTAAGTTGTGAAGAGGGTGGAATATCTGTTGTACTTTTTGGATGACGCAGAGGGTCGAGACGACTTCGAGATTTTGTGTTTCTGCCCTCCTTCCGATTACATCATCGATTACATCGTTGACGAAGCGTTTTTACTCGGAAGATTCCTTGCACCCTCGTAGAGTAATCTGTTTGTCTTATGACGGGGGTTTTGGGCGTAAGGTCTTTTGGAGTATCGCTTTCAGGGGCGGGCTCTTTGGCCCGGAGGACGGGAGTCCTACCCTGGGAGGCTACACAAGGTGGGAGGTGTAGTTCTTGAGAGGGTAGGGGCTGGGGGTGGGTTTTGGGATTGTGGAATCAGCTTTGGCGGGGGCGGATAGAGACAAGGGGCACTGTTCTCAGCGGGGAGTGGTGTTAAGTGGGCTGTCTCGTCGGAGAGGATGGGAGGGAGGGAATGAGGGAACCGCCGTTCCGTGTGGGCGTACTTTTGGAGGGAACTTTACGTCCTTCAAGGAGCAGGGGTGGCCATTTAGGGGGCTTGTCCTGATCTGGGGCTGACAAGGAGTTGGTCGTACAAGAGGGGGTCCTGCCCTGCGGAGGCAGTATCGGGGAGGGGAGTGCTGTGTCTCGGGGGGGTAGGGGAAGTATTGAGGGTTGTGCTATTCTGGGGCCGGGGATGATCGGAGTTTTGATCCCTGGCGGGGGCAGATAGTGGCAAAGGGGGGCGCCTCTCAGCGGGGGCAGTTTAAGGGCAGGAGGGTGGCTTGTCTTCGTGGGAAAGGGGGTGACTTCAGGGGTGGTGCACTGAGGCCCCCTTATGTTGTGTGCAAACGTTGGCTGTTGATACTAGAGGGGGCTGTGCCCTGTGGATGCAGTATCGGTGAGGGAAGTGCTGTGTCTGGTGGGGGGGGGGGGGGGGGGGGGGGGGCGTAAGGCAA